ATTGTAGAGACCCATTGGGATCTGCTTGAGATCTGTTACACTCAGTATTTAAAGACTTAGAACAATACCTAAGGATTTTTCGACAGTGGTATGTGCCGCACCTGCGACCACACCCAGTCGCAGATGGGAGTTGGCTATTTTGCACCAATTTGACCAGGCGCTGCCGGGTGGCGCCTTCGCTGCGTCAGAAATTATGCGTGGTACTCCTGATCTACTCGAGTTGTAAGCTTTTAGCCCTTCACATGTTGTCTCCCATAGCTAGGTTTTAAAAGAAAGGCGCAATTGTGAGACTGAGTAAGTCTGGCCCCTAAGCACTGAACTGTCTGTTATGAGTGGCTCTGAAGGTATTTTGATAGTGATTTCCAGCTTGACTAGATGGATCATCGCGTACGCAAACCATTGCACCATTTTTAGGTTCAGTCACATTGTGACGATGTTAAATCTGATCCTTCTTCTCCAAATAGTTTCTTGCTTGTCGCGGCTTCCCGATCTCATAGCTCTACATGTGTGATATCCACCGATAGTGCACCTTATCCAGGGTATTCAGGCCACGATGCAGCATTAAGTGTAAACAAATTCTCAGAAACATTGGTACACGTAACGTGCCAGCTACCAAATCACTGGCTGCTGAATCTAGGCACCATGACAGATTCTCCAATTGTTGACGTTTTTCATTCGCCCCCTTTCTTTCCGCGCTCTTTTCTTCTCCCTTACGAGAAGCCTCTCTACTTTTTGGATGGCCATTTTGAACTCCTCGTTATGTGATTGGATTGCGACACTCCATCTCAATGTGGACCGCGACTCGCGTTGCAGTGAACCTTGGTCAATTCAATCACTGGGACCGTAACTGATGAAGTGGATGGATATTGGGTGTTACACGTCGATAAACACTGCACTCCAATACCGGTATCAAACTATTTGATCTCATCATTCAGGAGTAGTAGGCACTGGAACTCGGTGCTTTTGAGATGTTAACCGACTCATGTTCGGACGAGCGAAGACCAATATCCATCAGCTTCATCAGTTATGATTCCAGTATTTGAATTGACAGAGATTCACTTCAATGCGAATTGCGGTCCACATTGAGATGGTGCGTCGCAATCCAATCACACAACGAGTACCTCAAAATGCCCCCCTCCCAATCAGTCATTAATCGTTGTGACAAACATTGCTCGCGGTGACTATGCAGCTTTGTCATGTAGAGGTCTCGGGTAGCAGCGCAGAGTCCGAGTGCTTGCTATCTTTGCCTGACGATAGGTCCGAAACCGTTCGGACTGGTAACACCCGAAATATTCATATGTTATTGGGATTAACGAGACCGTTTGGTGTGCATTTGCTTCCAATGATTCATCCTCTTACCATTGCAATCATATGTAGGGCTAAAGAAAGAGTAAACTCGACCCAGTTAGTACAAGTGACATAAGACGAAAAATCGAAATTGGTTATTTACATGTTACGGTTTGACCTCAGGCCATTGACCTCAGTATCCTCCGTTTTCGCGGGTCAGGAAAGCTGAAGAGCCTGGACTAGCTTCTTTTGCGCGCATGAAGACAATTGAAATAATCGAAGGTAAATTGCTTCGGCCGTCGCAAGTGTACGAAGGTGTTGACCTTTCGATCGATGCGGTGGAACTTTGTATACTACTCTAAAGGCATGTTTTGGATTCACCTGATGCCTGCTGTCGACGATATTAGCCGGAATTGTGTTGCTAATGGCCCCATTGCCACCTTAATGCAACCAACATGGGCATTCACGCGTTTGGACAAGTGCTGCGCCATTCCACCGCTATACGTTGCGCCACAGACGCACTCGAACTGATAAGTAACCATTGGGGTGGTCAGCATCTGCAATCTATTCCTGTTTCGTGAACGGAAGAGCAGTTTCGTTGAAACCACACTTTAGCGCAGCTGCTGCGAAGGTCGACTTACTTGCGTCCAAAAGGCTTCAGGTTAGACGCTCAGTAACTGCGTCTCCCTTTGAAAGGTGGTCATATGAACTGCACTTTCTTTGCCGATGTTAACACTGGCACCTGTTTGGGCTTTTCCTCAAGATTTCGTAAAATAAATCTGTCGTGGTATCCGTTGTCGCGCAACATTTTCTGTATGAACGTAAGTTCCGCATCTAGGGTGTCTTCCGAGCAGATTTGACGTGCTCTCGTGGTAAGATAGCGAATCATGTTGCGCTTTTATCTCAGGGGGAGGAAGGTGTGAAAATTCGTATACTAGCCAATCCACGTTGGCTTTCTGTAGATCTGCTGCTGGATTGAGCTGTCTGATCTTCTAGTTAACAGAACATCAAGATACGGCAGCTGATTTTCGGTTTTGTTTCCATAAGTAAAATGCAATGCTGCATGGGCTCGGTTAAGAATTTCATCTAGGTTAACGTGATCATCCATCACAACGAATATATCGTCTTTGTACCGATAGTAGCGGTTAAAAGTGACTATATCCGCCTGCGATTCTGTTCTCTCCAACTTTGCCACAAACATATCCGCCAGCAGTGGACCCGGGGGAGATCCTATGGCCACGCCGTCCTTCTGCTGGTAGCATTTGCCGTTAAATAAAAACTGTATATTCCATGTGCAGCGCAACAGGATACTTTTTAGATCACAAGTAGGTCTACGCATTCTTATTTCTGATCGGGTTATATAGTCGCAAATGTAAGCTATTGTCTTAATCAGCCGGACGTTGGTTAAAAACGAGATAATATCAAAAGGGAACCTCGCTTTCCAATCAATTTCGGCATCATTGATGCTTTCTACGTAGGCTGTAAGTTGCAAGCTGTTATCACATCGGGTCCAGAATTTCTACAAGCCACTGAGCGACCGCATGGTAGGGCGAGTTGATCATTGACAAAATGGGACGGAGTGGAATGTTTGCTTTTTGACTTTTCTGCAACCCGTAAAGCGTTGGAACGTTTGTGCCACTAGGTTTAAAGCGGTCATACAGAGCATCTGAAATGTTCCCCTTAGTCCGAAGTTCTTACAGACTTTTAGTGGTCTGTGTTTCAATTTGTTCCGCCCGGTACATTTCCCCTGTTTTGCAACAAAACGCGGTCTCATCGTTCAGTATTGCTGTTAGTTTATCTATGTAATCTTATCTGTCTGGTAGCGCAATCCTCGCACCCTTGTCAGGTCTACACGCAATGACTTCATAACGCTTATGTTCCTTCAACGCATCCAGGTATTTCCTTGTTAGCGGGCCATGATTATGGACGCGATGTTTGGTAGCAGGAATTCACCAAAAAGCACTTAAAGCGTTTTAGATCCGTATTCGTCTGTCCCTGCTATTCTTTATAACCACTGCTGACCTACACTAACATAGTGACGTAAATCAGTGCAATTAACTGCCACACTTCAGCTCTGGAATCGGATGAACTGCGTTCAACTAGCCCCCGTGTTTAAATCAATGGAGAGTGTACTTCTCGGCTTTCATTGGTTTCTCGAGACCTCCGCTATCTGTGGAAACTGTTTCGCTTCTCGCTGGCCAAGTACTGACAGAGTGTAGAACAATGTAGTATCGCCACTGTTTCTGCGTGGGTTACAGTTATGCCCGTTGCGTTTTTCATGCACTAGAATGCTCTCTATGTTTGACCGCTGATCTATGCAGTATGTTATCCGGATGTAGTGGGGCTACCTAACGAGCAATGTTTACCTTGGCCTTGCAGTGTTTTGCATTCGCTCATATGGTACCTCACTGGGTTGGGCTACGTGACGTCATTCGTATGTGTGCTGACCACCAATGGTTTGATTCGCTTCCCAACTCCTCTGCGTTTGATTGTGTGTAACCGCAATGTGACCGGCCCACTACTTGATAAGATGCTTGAGTTGACCTAACCAAAGTCTTGTTCGTTCTGATGCGTGCTGTCTCCGGTGTTGGAGCCGCTCTGACTACCGAAAAATCTTAGACATGGCGCTGCATGGAAAGCCCGGGGAAATTTTACTTCGTTTTTCCTCCTCCTTTCTTTACTCGTTAAGCCCTTCCACCTTAGTATTACACCCTAGTATCACACCATTTTTCTTCATTCTGTTCTCATCTCCGTACTTTTTCTCTCTCTTCACGCCTCATTCACATTTAGCCTTTAGGACACATCCTTCACTCACTTTCGATGCCTAATAACTTTTGAGTTCGACCACTCTCTGTGTGTTCGGATCGTGGCACGTAACTTCATCTAAGACTCTGGACCAAATTTCCCTCGCCTCAAGCATCATTGTCGTAGTGGAACTGGGACATTTGTGTGCTGCGCGATCTCTCCACTGCAATGCACATCCAGTTCCTCCTCTGTTTGGGCATTTGAGCCGAAAAGCTTCCTATCGGTACTCGAACTGGTAATCTCGCAGCTGCCGGTCGGACACATTAGTTAGTCCCTGCTCCCCAAGTTGCACGAACAAGATCTATGGGACCACGGGATACGTGGTAGGCATGGGCTATACAGACTCGGAATGGGTAGGATACTGGTCGCGCAACGTACTTTTGTCTGCAAGCGATCCTCAAAATCGCCTGCTCTCCGGTTTGCATATCCTAGTCGCCGTCGCTCTCATTTCGTCTGCAGTGTTCTTCGGAAGGCATTTGTGCGCTGCCCTCAGAATCCATCTTCGCCCGTCCTTTCCGCCTTTGCTGTGTGTAGATGAGTCCTCGTTTTTCTTAACCCCGATAACTGTCACTATGTTCGGTAGCGTCCTATCTTTGTTTCTGAAGGTATTGTCTGCATGGAATTTCGCTTTTTCCATAGAAAGTCACTAGCCTTCTCGCTCTCTCTGAGACTGCAGAATATTCGGCCCTGTTCCTCATCTCGTTTGCTTTGATTTGAACTCAGGGAACTACAATCTCCTCGGAAACTGCCAGTCTCTTACTACAATTTCAATCTTCACCTAATTTGATTCTCCTTCCCACATCCGCTTATTGCTAGGTTATCGGCACTACAACTGAAATAAAGAATCTACTCCTCATTTTACGACTTAGCTCTGACTCTTGCGCACAATTTTTTACTATCCCTTGTAGACTTCGAAATCGGATAAGAACATCCCAAATCAACGTCTCCCAGCTGCTGGTGGTCTTCCCACTCAGCCGTCATCCACGCAGTCCCATTTACTCCATTCGGGCTCTGATCGCTCCTCAGCTCCTTTGGCATCTTCGACGGATGAGTCCACTTACCGTCTGCCTAAATTGTTGCAGAGCGTTCGACTGAGTCAGGCGAGTTGTCCTTCGACACCCATTTCTTTTTCAATTATCGAACGCACTGCTTCATGTACCATCTTTTCTTTATCTCAATGATAGCTCCAGGTATTATAAATTTCGTTCCTCATGTATTTCAGTGGTTTTCGCCTCTTTACTCAGTAAAGCTATAGAATTCCCTGCACGTCGACTGTATTGTTTCCTAGTTGACCCTAGTTTACGTCCTTTTCGACTTCAGTCTGGTACACCGTTTTCACCTTCCTGTTGTTGAATCTGTGAATGGAGTTCGCTCATCGGGTCAGCCTATTTCCAGATTTTCCGCTTCAGCCAAATTTCAACGTGTGATCGCTTTCCCATGCGGCTGTTCACCTCGAGAAGCTTCTCCTTCATTGTAGCCTAATCCAATTCTCAGTGGGCAGATGTATGTTGCACCAGTGTGTAGCCCGCTTTTATATCTAATCTTCGCACCCAGCCGAGCAGTCCCTTTTGCGATGTTTGTACTCCTCTTTGTGTAAAGCAAGAAAATAACCTGTCACGCGATGAATGGTGGCTAGCCACCACTTTTCTGTCGGCTTTGGTGGAGCTTAGCGTTCTGAAACACTAATCATGCAATGAATACCACCTATGACGTAGGAGTCAACGCAAACACCGCTGGCGTGGCAGGCTTATTGGCACTTCATCACCATTCATGTGCACAGATACTGAAACTCATCCATGCTTCAAATCCCTTTGAGTGAAAACAGTTTACGCTCGATTTGTGAATGGACAATCCGTTCGTAAGCTGCACACTACTTCTATGTCCGTGAATAGCAATGTCCATCTTCGCTAGTCATTTGTGGGCAGCCTGTGCCTGGACGATATTCATACTCTTGGGCCATGGTTTCCCGCTCATTTCCTTGGACCTCGCGGCACTAGCCCGTACTTAATTCAATACGAGCAGTTTATTTTACTCGTTTTGCACTCAGTTCCAACCTGATCGTGTAAATTGAACTAGTGCTTATAGACCGCGCCAAGACACCCTTTGGTCAAGAGACAGTTGGTTTTCGTCTGCTAATTCTCATGTATACAGCTTGGGCTGCATGTCTCAGTATTAAAACGAACCATTGGTCGCGAACTTTGGTGTTGGATACCTTTTTGGCTGCACTAGTTGAGCGCGTAGATCTGACATCTCCATTACGAGTAAATATGTTTCACATCTGTTACGTCCGTGCCCTACCATGTGACTGTAACCTAGTGACAACTTTCTTCAGCTCGTCCCAAAGCCCATGCGTGTTTATGCTGTCCGGACGGCGGTCATCTTGTCTGTAACCGGTGCTGAACTTATCTCTTGATTTGTTCATTGTCTCATACCCAAGGTTTATGTCACGCCGTTAAATACGATAAACTCAGTACGCCATCCACATAACGTTTATACAGCTTAGCTTCACTAATGATGTTAGCGATCTTCTTTTCAATCAGTCCCAAGGATATGTCCGCCAGAACTGGACCTAGAGAGCTTCTCATTTCAACGCCATCGACTTGTCTGTTTGCAGATCCTTCAAATTCAAACCAAACAGTTTCTGTACATGTTAGTATCACGTCACTGAGGTATTCAGGAGGAAGACCAACAGATAGGTTTCGACTCAAAAGGAAAATGCATACTTCGTCAACTTTTTCGCGCAAGGGTCCGTTTGTGGAAACTGAGTCCACATCTATCGGGTCCATGCGCTCTGTATGTAGTGACGTATGGTCTAGTGTCTCGACTAATTCGATTGAGTCTTTCAAACAATATATGGTCAGGAGTTTACGAACTGGTTCCAGCAATTCCACCAACCAACGAGCAGCCTTGTGTTATGGGGTGTTGTTCATGCACGAAATTGGTCGTAAGGGATTACCCTTTCTTGTGTATTTTCGGTGCGCTTCTCATTCTTGGGGTTTCCGTTCCCGTTGCCTTCAGTTGCCGATACAGTGATTCGGTGATGTATCTATGCAACAAAATGATATGCAGTTTTCTTGCGACCTGCTTTTCTACCGGAAGATTGATGTCAACGATGTTGACCTCTTGGAACATACGTGCATCCCCGGGAACTGATTCCATCTTGGAGATATAATCCGCTTTTCCATGATCACAACACCAAATCCTATATCCGACTGCAAAAAGACCACATGTTCCATCTCTTTCTACTCTTTCATCGCCTTGTAATGCTCAACTTACAGGCAACACCTTTTCCATACCGTTGTGTTAGGTAATTGGTTCGCGATATCCACCAATTTTACACGAAACCACCCTACATCGTCAGTTGATCTCGGTGATGGCTCGCTTAGTTGATCAGACAGATGCTCAGAATTCACCTGCGTGCTAATCCGGTTTACATTCCTCGGTGGCAGCCGATACTTTCGTCTCAGTGATAGAACTTCTAATTGTTCTCCTGTGAAGTTAGCCGATGAAAAATTGTGTACGTTTTTGATGCACTCGTCAGGGAATGCTGCTTTGGTCATTCTTGCAAGAGAGCCCTGCAAGCCGTGCAATGTTCTAACCCGCGCACGGTGGATAATTTCAGCCGAAAATGCTTCAAACTTGTGCTGGCAAACTGAAGATAACCGGTTAAGAATACCGCAAACCGCATTTCTGTCTTAAAGTACTTGTGCTGACGCTCAAGGCAGGCGTCCATATGGGCAGATGCAATCCGGATCGTTTTGGTTTACTGGTAATTTGTTTCTTGATAGAGGTTTAGCGAACCAAGACGGAAAACAACCTGGCTGGATACAATCCTCGTAGACTATAACCCGTACGCATTCCATTGTTATCTTGTAGCGCAACGATATCAATCTGTCCAATGCCACCTGCACATACGTTAATTTTTTACCCAAATGTATTACGTTTGCGACTGATGAGAGTTATCGAAATGTTAACGTACCGCAACCTTTGTCTTCTGCGTTGACCAAGTAGGTAATGGGGATACAATGTTTCACGATAGAGCCTTGTATTCCCGGCTGAAGGAACGTACCGAAGTAGATCCTGCGTGATATAAACGAACAGCCTCATCCACCCCAGTCCCTGCTTCCGGCATTCTCGATAGGTAAACACCTATTGTTTACTGGTCACCGGATCGCGCTTGATACGGCATTCAAATGTTTGCTACAGCGCTCTAATCTGCGATTTCTTCGGTTCGCTGAGGGTATCACGATTAGTCGAATGCACCCGACGCTGTGCGTGCACAAACAGTTATTCGTCAGTCTCCGGCTTCCGTGAACATCCAGACCGAGTCGTTTTCATCTATTCTGATCCCCGAGTTTGTTTCTTTGTTTGGTCACATCCGCCGTTTGTCATTATTTCTCATCGGTTATTGTTATTGGTACTGAAGAGACAATACGAAATGCTTGCATCTACCAACTATCGTCTTCTTGCTGTACTTTTCAAATTTGAGTGCTGACAGAAAGAGCGAGTAAGTGCTGAAGGTCAAAGGCTACATCAGGATCAAAAATGATGCACCAAGCGTCACGGTCCCCACGAAAGTCTCAGGTTGACAGCCAACTGTTTTTGTATACAAAAGCCCGAACGATTGTGATCGATGGCCACAGCCTCTGCAATGTGGAGTATTTTGTCGTTTGTGCCGCGGTAGATAACCGTAAACGCCACGTCCGGGTCAATTTGGTGGGTGACCCGTACTTACTAACTGCTTAGCAATCGATGAGGCTGGCATTCTGGAACTTGGTGCCTGTCCTCTTGTTTAGTCTCTTGTAATGGAATTGACCCATTTTACTCTATGCTCTCCGACCCGCCTACCTAGCCATCGATCTGTTCTGCTGATATAACTGCTCTCGCAGCCACAGACCAATTGGTAAATACAATGTGTTGTGGCGGAGATCAGTTAGGTAAGCTTGACCGGAGGCGTTGGTAACTTCTTGGTTGTCCAAAGGGGGACCGGTTTGATAGCACTTAATATCCGTCGAATTACTTTGGCTACACATCGCTTGACTTCCTTTGCCACGACATCTCCTTTGAATGGCAACCGGAGATAGGCGGGCATTTTGGTACTGTAGGGGTTTTTTGTCTTTTCCGTTGCATCGGGGCGGCCGTGGAAATTCATAAAGACTGCTGGGTAGCCATTTGACTGCAGCGTCTTTGTAACGAACTGCAATTTGTACTCTAAACATTCAGGGCTACAGATGTACGGACTCATTGGAACAAGATTTTGACGAGGCAGCGTTTGTGTTGAACAGGCAGAACTACTGAAGTGTTCGTCTAGTTCTATCCAAGTGGCTTTTCGGCAGACAGACCACCGTATAGTGCCATCTGCTATTTTGGGCAATAGCACATCCAAAAGGCGCGACAGTTGTTCTCTAATTCACATGTAAAATGGGCATTGGGTTTGCGTTGGTCATTGCCTCAAGAAGAGACTCGGCGGCATTGATGTTTGGTGTGCTCACCAAGGTGTCATCAACGGACCGCTTGTACAGGCACATCTGATCAAAGTGTAATTCACACCGTGATTCAATCATTACTATGAAGATGTCTGCTGGCGTGGGGCCGAGTGTTTTTTTCATGGCAACGCCGTCCACCTGTCGGTAGGACTCACCTTCTAACAAGTAGTGGACATTTTCCGTGCATATCAGAATTAAATTATTCATCTATTCCACGGGTATTGGTATGGTTACTATTTTTTCCTTCACGAAATTACATAGATAATCCACTAACTCTTAACAGGACGTTACTAAAAGTGATAAAACATCAGGGTGCGTGATAATACCTGGTTGCCCAAGCCGAAGTAGAGAGTTGGTTTGGGAGACAACACTGAGCATTTTTCTATAGAGCCTACCCACAAGGTAGCGAGACAAATTCAGAGAATCGCACCTATTAGGAGCCAGTGGTTGATTGCTCAATTCAAGCGCCTTACGTTTGGTGGGTTACCAAACAGGGGCGCACTCCTCTCCACAATTTCAGCAACTAGGTGCTCGGATAAAATTCCGCACCTGAGTAAAGCAAGTGACATTGACTCTATTTACTGCCTGGTCACATCCGCCACGTTGCACTGTTGTTAAACACACATTTGTGGCTTTATAGGGAGAACACTTGACAGGCGAAAATCCACAACGTCCTGGAACACTGCCGCCGAATTATTTTTTCTGGAATGGTAAATCCCGAATCACGCAGTCAACCCCACGAGAAGCTTGTTTGGAGAGCAAGCCGTCAATGTGTTGTGCTTTAAAGTGTTTGCTTCTCGGTTCTTTTTTCACTGACCTGCATGGAATTATATGAAGCACCCACCACAACACCACCCGTTCACTGGCTCTCTCAAGTTTCTTAAATTTCGACGCATTGTCACAGTTCGATTGATAATCACCGTTTTTCCCTCATAAACTAATACTTCATAGCTTTTTGGCCGCCGCACATATCGTTTGTATACTTTTTGGTGAGCAATGCGTGCCACCCAGTTATCGATTACACACCCAGCTGATGGCAGTCTCTTGATGAAACCCAACTTGAACAATATGACCGTCGGGCTGTATGGTTCCGTCGTATTTAAGCGCCGGTCCGCACTAGGTAGGTATTATGCATCTAGGACAAGCTCAGCTTGCATCCAACAACTCATGCGGTGGAATTGGATCAGGTCTTGCGTTCTCTGTGTCTACTGTTTAACCGATCCACATAGTGCTCGATGCTGCTTTTCTTTTTGGGACACGGGTGCTCTCAGTGATATTGTATGAAATGTGCCATGCCAATCGGAATTAACGCCATAGGCGAACGTTGCAGAGGCAAGCGCGCCCAGCTCCGAACATAGCGGATTCGTACGGTCATGTCGGAGCTTAACCCGGCCACACACACACGGAGCGGAGTCAAAGCATATAAGTATACTTTTACTCTGCTCCGTGTTATTATCCGCCAGTCCGGTACGAGAAAGAATCCACCAACTGTGCTTCCCGCTAATAATGCATTATGTCTTCCGATTACAAATTCTTCGGTTTACTTCATTCCGATGATCCACCGATACCAACAATTTACATGCGGCTGTCGCCAACTATCCCGCTGGAAACATGCATCTCAGAAATTGAATGTCTCTGACCGCTACCATTACCATTGCTGTTGATCCTGCCAGCTGTGTGTTTGTTTCTGTATTTTCTTGGTCTATTCTCTCTGTGTGTGTTTGCATTGCCTTTCGTTACGTTCCCCTCCTAGTATCTCACACACGATAATAACTTCTTCTTCTGCCCTTCTCCATTTGCTTCTGTTACAGCCCCACATTGAATCCGGATCTGGTGCCGGTCTCACTGAGCCCAGCGACCGGTTTACTCAGGCTCAAGGTAAGCTTTTTCCGTAACAACCTGATGACTCAAATAGCGTGATTTTGAAGTAATGATATCACCCGTTGCTGCAAACCATTCTTCCGTTTGCCCCAATGCAATCCGTTTCTTTCATCTGTTTTGCTGCGCCTTTTGATGAAGTAACCTTTAGTTTTAAGAGCACATGCTTGACCAGCTCGTTTCGCCCCTAGCCGCGTTAGTTAAGAGCAAACCATCTGTATGACAATCGGGCTCTTCCTATAGCGGTGTCTTTCGGAGTCTCTAGTATCCAACAACCTACTCGTGACGATGAGACTAGATAACTGCATTTGATAGATGTTTACCGATCCGAATGACAGTTTGTTTCACTGTTTTTTAACCTTATGAACTATGCACACACACACACACACACCATGCCTTGTGTTAATTGGTGTGACACCTGTTGTAACTCTATACTTATGTCTTAGCTTATTGGTCAAGAATCCTGTGTGAATGTAGCTTTGCTCCATTTTTCCGGAAATGTCTAGGCGATGGTTCAAACACTGTGCTCAGTAACTTCGCATAAGGTCTTCTACCCCGATAGGCCCCCCATTAAACTGTGCCGCTGTGCGGCTTGACGTCAAACATCGATCGGAATCGATAAGCATCGTCCGTGTGTCGTTTTTATGCATCCTCCCACAGTCACCTGAAGGCTGTCGGTGGTGATTCCTATCGGACTCCGCTATTTCCTTTTCTTACGGTTGACGATAAGATTGTGATCGTTTCTCTACTGCGTTTCTAACCCTGGTGACTATTCCGCATGGTGAAGGGGCAAATTTGGACTATACGAACGATGATGTTTTCTTGAAGTCGAGCTTAGTTGTAATGCAGACTGAAGCAGTATGAAATACTGTCGCAAAGCAAAGCTGACATAACGCTACGTTCCACCGGGATCGTATAAAGTTTTTAAGTAGTGAACAATTTCGGGGATCTCTCTTTAATGTAGCTTTTACAATCTGTTGAGTAGAACACCGAAACCGCAATTTTAGGACTTGGTAGATACGACTAAATCGTCGGCAATTCTGAATTTTGTGTTTATTTGGTATCCGCGTATTTTTTTCGTCTTCCGTTACAGACGTCCTACATTCTAAAGGATGGGGATCTCACGGATTTTAGCCTCTGATTGCTCTCTGGCTCTCCCCATGTTTATTTGTTTTGTTTCATTAAACTCAACACATTTTCATAATTACGGATTAGTCTACAACTGTTCATCTCTCACTGCGGTGCTCAGCTCACAATTGATGACTTAGTTGAGCGCGCAATTTATGAAGGTTTATCCTGGTGATCAATCGCATTACATTTTTTGCTTTTCTTTTTATGGCATATCTTCTACCTTAATTTCCAAATCCGTCATATAAATGACCACAAGCCTCTTCCAGGAGGCTACTTGATAAACTTTGATTTTCCGGAAGACCTGTCTCCTCTTGCGTCGGACCTGTCGTCCGTGCAAGTCCTCCTTTTATAAATGGACGCGTAGTGCCGCACGCTTCGGCACCTCCAAAGTGTCTCTAAGTAGACGGAGACGCAATTAGTCTTGTCTCATCAGTACCTTTAACAATAAACCGCCATGATATCTAATCAGGACAGACTGCAACCAAACATGGTTGGCGGCATCCGGTTCTGGATTTGCATGTCACGGCAGCCTCCATGGGGACAGCCACAGTATGATTGGTCCCACCCAGTCCTGATTAAATACTATTGCGACTTATTATCACAAATAACGGTGATACAATACGAAATGTCTGCATTTGCCAGTTTTCGTCTTCTTACCGCGCTTTTCAAACCACGGAAGCAAAATGACCGCTTCAGAGTCTTCATTCTTTCTTCCTACCTCATCGACTGGCCGTATCATGATTTCGTTCGAACAGTGTACAGCGATACCATATAGTGCACGTCTAGGCGACAAATGGGTATCTAGAGACATACACTAGCCAACGTAGGTAGCTCAATTTAGCAGCCATTCGACTGCGGCAAAAGAGGATTTATTTCAAAACGCTGATTAGGAAGCCTTTTTACTACTCACTCCATGTTCCCACCGTATGCGAGCTGTAATCCATAAGAGCTACTGAACAAAGTCGTCCATTCTATTAGCGTCCTCAATGTGATGTGCTTATATCTTTGATCAAGACAGTGACACCTAACTTAGCTTTTCGCACTTCGACCATGACATCATCTCTGATGATTCCTTTCCGCACCTAGCCTAAACTTTCATGCCCTCACTTTAAATTAATGTTTTCATTGCCTTGGGTCTCGGAATCGGGAGGCAGGAGTGTGGCTGCAGAGCGTTCAACACGTGTGCCAAACCGTCATTATGACTTAGGTGTAGCGCACATACAACGCCGAAATTTCTGCACCTCGGATACAATTACATCAGGACATTTTTTCTATTGTATTGCTTGCACAGTAGCTGAGGTGTTTAATGATGACAATGTTACGGTCACCTGCGGTTTTAATAGAGCTTGCGTGTCGCAGTCCAGCCACACAGCGGGTACGCCTGTCCAACCTTCCTATCGCCCTCGTTCTGAGGCAACCATTTCTTACATTACTCAAATATTACCTACTTACAAGTAGTATATTTTGTAGGAATTTATCGCGTGTTTGCTTCAGACTTTTCACCAGTAATCACCGCTTATGTCCTTGTTTCTCTCTTTTCTTATAATCTAATCGTTATATCTTAGGTGTACTCTTTAACTTGAGCTGTTAACTGAATCGGCATATGAAGTCTAC